TGGGAGCTGCTGTGGAGGAGGCTGTGGAAGTGGAGGCAGTGGATGGCAGCCGGGTGCTGAGCGGGCTGCTGGGGACAGGTGGAGAGCTGGGATGTAGAGAGGCTGTTTCCAGAGGCACTTCTGTGCTGCTTGGTTGGCTGGCTCCAGTGGACACAGAGGTCTTGGAGGTGCTGCTGATGGAGGTGGTGGCTGTGGTCTTGTGCGTGGACACAGGTGGCCCAATGTGTGGCACAGTTGACAGTTCATGGGTAAAGGCTGCCAGGAGGGAAGCACAGGTCAGTTGTATGTTGCTGGCTTATGACAAGTTGAGTGATATTGAGTCCTGCACTTTTTGAGGTTTTGTGCTCAGTTATGGGCCAGGATGGGAGGCTTAGTTCCCACTAAATCTGGTTGGTATAGGGTTTGTGTTTTTTTCAGTTAATGAAAATGTCCATTGTCCTAAATATGTTCCTTCCTGTCCTGCTTCTTTTTTGTAAGTGCTTGCTGCTGACTGTTTTTAAGGTTGACCTCTAGCAGTTTGTCTAATCTCATTCTTCTTGGAGCAATTGATTGGGGAAGAGGTATCATTTGTTTACTGGTAGTTTAGAACTGGCTTGCTGCAGACTCCTCTGGGAGGGATCCATGGGAGGGCCGTGGCTACTGAAGGGATATGAATGTATTGGCTGGGGATAATTCTTATCTCTTTCATGACCAGAGCACTCACCTGTTACTACTTTAGTAGTTGGTGTCTTAGCTCTGGTTGGCTCCCTTGCTACAAAGAAAGGGATGAGAGAAAAGAATGATTGAGTCTTGGGAAGGATTCTAGGCAAAGCATGCTATGGCATCTCCCCAAAGGAGATCAACACTAAGAGAACTCTGGCACATGGGTCTAAGTGAAAGAACTGGAGTGAAAGCTTGGACTTGAGTGTACACTTTCTTGCCCACCCTCCACTGGCAACTCTTGCACTCAGGGTCAGCATTGGTCCATGAGGTCATATTTGTTGGACAGCAATTTTCTTGGATGTGCCATGCCCCAGGCATCCTTTGGCTGGAGATGATGCCTTGGGTTATGCCTCTAACTGAGAACTGTCCTGAGCTGTAAATAGGAGATGTATTTCCAGTTCCCCTGCCTTTTGTTCACCCCTGTCCCACTGTGCATTCTCAGGGCAGCACTGTAAGAAGAGGTGTTTTAGCTTGTATCTGATTGATAGCTATAGGGCAGGAACTCATGGATGCCTGGACTCTCATAGAAGCCTGTGCCCCAGAGCCAAAGCCCTGAAGTTGCAAGGAGAAGGACACAGTCAGGGTCATGTGTGGGTCAGGCTCAGGACCTGCTGGTGTCCCATGGCAATAGCAGGGGGAATTGAGAACAAGTACCAAAACTGAAGCCTTTGTGGGATGTGCTACTTAGAAGAGAAGGGTGGGAACTGGAAGAAGCAGGCAGATCAGAAAGAAGGGCAGGAGGGAGCCTTACCAGGATATGATGTTCCCAGCTGGGTTGAGGAAAGGGAAGAAGCAGATGAGGCTGAAGTGACAGGCAAAGAGCTGGAGCTTGGAAATGTCCTTGTCAGTGGAACTTCTGGACTAGTGGCAGGGCTGGTCTCTCTCGGGACAGAGGTGCTGCTGGTGGATGTGCCAGGGGTGGTCTGTGTCTGGGTGACAAGGTGCTGTACAGGCTGTGTCAGTTTTGCTCTTATGTGGGTAACAACTGCGGAGAGAAAAGCACAAGTTGATTGAGGGTGAGTCTGAAGGGTGCCTCTGACAATTTGATACTCCCTGCCTTTTTCTGAAGCTCCTGAGGAAAGAAGAGCCTGGTTGGATGCGCATGTTTCCCCTCCCAAGTATTCCAAACTGGGCAAGACTATCATCTGGAAAAGCTGAGATAAGTGAAGCAGAATCTAAGGCCAAGGGCATCTCTCTAGTTCTGTTTACTCACCTTCTGGGTAGTGCACAGTGGTTGCTTCGGTTCCCTCACTCTCTGTGGTGAAAGAATGAATATTAGTAATGGCTGGGAGCTGGTGAGCTTCCTAGAGGAATCTGTAATTGCTTGCACAAGAAGACCCATATATATGCACCCAACAGTACTTTGTGGGAGAAACTTGGATTTGGAAAAGAGTGTACAGTTGCCCTCCCACTACAGTAGACTTCCCACCACATGCTGTCCCAGCCTGTTGATTGCTAATGTAGTAATATGTGTTGCCATACAGCCTCAGAGGAGACTGTCCTTGTTTGTATATTTAGTGTCAGACATTCAAAAAGGTTATTATTTTTGGGGGAGTATTTCTTACAGTGAGTAGGGGGAATATATATTTTGTGGTCTGTGAGTTTTGAAGAACTTGCTTTGAGGCATAGAGAGATTTTGTCTAAATTTGGAGGAAGTGTTGGAAGAGATGCTAGCTAGCCAATGCTAGCTTTAACATCATATTTGGATGTCAGATGCTTGCTCCATTGGGAAGATAAATTTCCATTTTAATCACACTTCTTATCCATGTCCTTTCCTTTCTGTTTGCAATGTTAAGACCTCTAGTAAGAATGCCTGAAGTTTTTTATAAGGACTATATTGACATATGACTTGTGAGTGATGGCTTCACCTGACAGATGTAAGAAAGTGCTATTTACCTGCTGTTGTTAGTTCAGGCTGGCTGAAAGTTGTGCTCCGAGTTGTGGTGTGAGTAGGTATTGAGGAAGTTGCTGTTTTCCTTTCGGTCGTGGTCTTGAAGGATGGTGAGGTGACCCCTACTTGTTCTGTCTCTGTTGAAGCAGCGATTGATGAGGCAGAAGGTGATGAGGGAACAGACTGTGTAGTGGCCATGGTTCTTTTCATTGAGGTAGTTATGGAAGGGGTAGTGATGGTTGTAGTCATGTTTGGTGTGGTAAAAATTGATGTTGTATGTTCTTTTGGAGTAAAGGTAAAAACAAAATGTGAGTAACCAATTAATAGAAAAATTAAAACCAGATTAATTATAAAGAAGATATTTGTATTTTAGAGATAGTTCTTTTCTTTTTCAAATATTTTCAATATGACTGTTGTATTCATGTTCTCATACACTTACCAAATATTTCTGAGCTTATATTTCTTTTCTGTTGTCTCATGTCTGTCTTTGTTCTCATTTGCTGTATTTTTCTGTATTAGATTTGTTTAATATATAAGTAGTTAGCTTTGTTGTCACTTTGGGTAAAGTCTATATGGACTTTGTCCATTGGCTTTTATTATGTTCCAAATCAGCCACACTTGCAGCATATGCATTTTGTATTGAAAGGCTAAATAACATCATACTATAGACTCTCCTTGCCATGATGCACAAATCATCTGTCACAATGTCAGCTTTCATATGTTTTGACTCCTTTGGGACCTATTTTTACCTCTGCTTTTCCTGACAGTCATGGTTCAAGATGGTTTATTAGTTGAAGTGCATGTTGGTATGAGGCTAAATGAGGCTCCACAAGCCACAGAATCAGAAAGTAATTTATGCTGGCAGAGTCATCCTCCAGAGAACAGGACTTTAGAAGGCTAGACAAAGCTGCTACACTGATACCTGTGTGACTCTGCTTTGGGGCTTGCTTACATTATTCAGAGTCAATAGATTGGGTGCTCCTTGAACTCCGTAAATGAACCAGTGGAAAAGAGGCTGAAGCTGAGCTAAAAAACCCAACTGGACCTGGGCTTGCTCACTGCTTATAGAACTACTAATTGTGTTTCTCAGATGACTCACTTTTTGATTGCATTTTTATCCTAATACCTACATCTTTTTATACACTTTCAGTCTACACTTCTGAACATTTCTGGTTTACAAATTCCTTTCTGGAAGCCTGCTTTGCCTATTTCATGATTTGGAGTCTAATGCTTGGATGGTGTGTGAATTTGAAATGCATTCCTAGGAATGGTATCTCAACAATGTACAGAGGTTTAGAACAAGTTTATAATAATTTATTTTAGACAATAATACTAAAAACCTACCAGTAGTTGACTTTATTGTGAAAAGAGGTTGTGAAGGTGAAGTTCTTGGAACTGTAATTTTTGCAGTTATTGTTGGATTTGTGGTCTCAGGTGATACAGTTTTTGCAGAAGAAGTACTAGGTGCTGTTGGAAGTGTGCTTGTGGTAGAGCTCCTTGTTACTTTAGGCTGCACTGTTGTTACTAATAAAAAAAATCAAAATTAAATGATGAAATAGTCCTCAGTATGATAACATTACATTAATATAAAAATAAAAATTACATTAATATATATATTAATGTAATTTTTTCTAAAGTAAAACAAGTGGGTTTATAGCTATTAGCAGTAGCTACTATTAAAACCCATTATCTTTTAGATTAAACCTTGAAGAGCTGTTATCCATTGCTTCCTTTGCTATTATGTGCAGTGAATACATTAAACAGGTATTCTTGGTGATGCTTTATAGCTTTTTCTTCACTTTAAAGTGAATTTGACATAAACAGTTGTTCATATCAGCAGAATGGAACAATATTACAATAATATATCAAATATTATCCATAATTTTATTATTCACACAACCTACAGTGTAAAGTTTTCCAATACCATCTGTCTTCAGGGAAATCAATGGAATTTCTAACAAATTTAAGATCAAGATATGTAGATTCCTTTCCTGTATCAGGCTATAGGGATTTGGTATAGTCAGTCACACATTTCCATCAAGACTTTCTTCAACTGTTGAAATATTATATGGCCAGTCCCTAGTAAGATTGGGCATAAATTTTTGTGAGATCCTTTTATCATAGAATCATAGAATGACTTGGGGTTGGCTTAGACCATTAATGATAATCTAATCCACTCCCTCTGCAATGAGGGGAGGTGTGTTCAACTAGATCAGGTTGCTCAAATGCCTCTCCAGCCTTAATTGAATGCTTCCAGGTAAGGGGATTCAACAGTCTCTGCAGGCAACATCTTCCAGTGTCTTACCAGCCTCATCATAAACAATTATTTCCTTATATCTAGTCTGAATTTACTGTTATCTGATTTAAAACAAATACCCCTTCTCCCATCACAACAAGTCCTACTTAAAAAGTCTATCTCCATCTTTCTTATAAGCCCCATTCTAGTATTGAAAAGTCACAAAGAGGTCTCCATGGACCCTTCTCCTTCCCATGCTGAACAACCCCAGATCTCAGCCTTTTCTCACAGGAGAGGTGTTCCAGCCCTCAGGTCATTTTTGTATCCCTACTCTGTCTTTCTTGAATTAAAGACTGCAGGGCTGGACAGAGCATTCCAGGTGGGCTCTCATCAGAGCAGAGGGGCACAGTGCTCTCCCTTGACCTGCTGGCCATGCAGCTTTTGACACAGCCCAGGATATTGTGGTGCCAGGGTATTTTTTATCATTTCACCTTATGCATGTGAAACTGATGATGCTGCTGTATCACACAGAAAAGGGCATTATTGATATCATAAACACTTATCAGGACATAATATCAGTGCGTAAGTTATAGAGTTGGTCACTGTGTAAACTGACCTGGTGAAGGTGAAGATGGTTCAGGTGTGGTGGTAACGTTTACTTGTCCTGTTACATAAAGACAAAACAGGTTATATTTGTGAATAAAAACATATTAGAATATCCCAGATAAGGCAAATCTCATCGGAATGGATTCCAAGGAGGTGTTCCTGAAAGTATTTAATCTTACATATTTCCATGGTCACAGTCACATCAAAGGACTTAATTACAAAGAAATCAATACATCTCATTATTATAATGAACTCTAGTAAGTTTTTCCTATCTTTGTTATGACTTTTATAGCTAAGGACACCTCAGTTTTCAGGGATAGTGGAACATGGTTTTGTATGTAAGGGAGATCACTAAGATCCTGGTCACATAAGATAAAATTTTATAATGAGAATTTTGTTCTTAAGTTTTTTTTACATCTGCATGAAAATCCAGACTGTCCAGCTAGAGTCTATCCAGAACCTTATTTAGTAAGATAGGTTTTCATGGAAATAAGCCATATGGTAATGAACTTCAAGTTAATTAATAAAAAAAAATCTAGAAATATATTTATTGAGTCCAGTTGCTAAATCTGCTCTTCTGCTACACTCTTCCCTTTTTCTGTGAAATGTGTTGAATCCCTCTGAGACTCACAGCTCTTCTGGGCCTGTGCCTCACACAGACTAGAACACCAATACTTTATTTTACAAGCAGTATAGTAATAGGTTTATTTTGAAAGGAAGTTATGTTTAGATGAACATTCATTTAGGAGAGATACTATAAAAATATCTTCTCTGAGTCTGTGCAAATGTTGTAGTAGGGTTTTCAAGTTACTGTGGAGAAAGAAATGCTGCTTACCACAAGGCATGCACCTTTCTTCTTCATGGTCAAAGTATTCATTGTGAGAGCAGTTGTAACAGCCTGAAGAAAGGGGAAGAGAAGTTTTACATTTCACAGAGAAAGGCATTTAATTTACACTATTCATAACTGAATATATTATATATCTGTTATTAAAAATAGTATCAATTTCAACATCATCTATTCAGGTATTTCCAATGCTATCATCAGAAGGAGATTTTGTCTACGTTTCTCCAGCTATATCCATTTGTTTAATAAAAATATTAATTTCTCTCTCCATGTTTTCTTTCCTAAGTACAGTGAATTCTTTAGATTTGGTGCAAGTTTCTCTTCCAGACAGGCTGAGTTTGATATAAAGCTAAATATAGTACATCTACTGAGTTAATTATGTATTTAAAACACTACTGGTAAGAGAAATATGAGCAAAACTTCCTAAAAAATAACATCAATTAGATTATCATTATTTAACTGTGGTATGACTGATCTAGAAAAAAAACAGCACTGAAAACAATTATGTTACTGTTTCCTGGTTTACAGTAGTAGAGGTTATTACCTTCAATATTGACATATTTGTAGTTCTGATTTGGACAGTTACAAGGCCTGTAGTGCCAGGTGCATTTGTCATCGTTGTAGCCATAGGAAAAAGCATCATCAATTCCTTTTCTTTTATGAGAATTGTAATACTCACAATAGACAGCTAAAGAAAGGACAAGCAAGAGAGAAGATTTTTCTTTTTCAAATTAATAGCATGATACTTCCAAAGTACTAGAAGGAAGACAAAATTAATTAACAATTGGAATAAAAAAACCTTCACTGAAGTGATTAGCTTCTGATGTAAATATATATTTTAACTCGTGGAAGTCAGTTTCTTTTTTGCAAGTACAATATGCAGACATTTCCACAACTTTTCATACACAATATATTGAAATGTGGAAGGAAATCCATCAAAGATGACAACTCTAACATTGATTTATAACATGTCCATCCTCTTTTTTCCTTTGTATTTGCTGTTTTGGAACACCTTCCTGTTTTACAGTGTTCCAGCCAACACAGCTGTCTACAGTCCCTTGACATCCACACAGAAATTGATTTCATCATAACTCAAATGAAACATTTTTTTACAATTTCATGCTTTCTCTGCTGGCAAACTCACAGTATACTATACACTGATAGCAGAAGAAACAATCTGCTTTCTGTGACCACATTATTTTCTCTCTCATGACTCCATAATAAAAAGAGTTAAAATATTTTGATTAATTTAGCTGAAAAGTACAGATTTTAAAACCCATGTGACTGAGGTTAATTCTTTGCCCACAGAGAAAATGCAAAGATTGAGGTGGTTATTACTAA